TGTGTATCTCTGCCTAGAACGTATTTCACCTGCCATTAAATAACCAGTTGTATCATCTTGGAGGCTTCATCTGGAGTTGTGACCCGTCCCTCCAGCTTCCTCTCCAGTCAAAGACAGAAGTTCCCAGAGGTCAGAGACCATGTCTGCCTTGCCCTCTGCTCTATCTTTGTTTTGTTTGTTTGGCGAAGGAATAAAGACATTCATTCCTTTCTCATGTAACCCTTGAGGCGAGTTTTTCTTATCAGCCAGCAGCAGTGTCCCCCCTGGTCTTTAGGGACCTGGGTTCCTCCCATTCTATGGCTCTGTCATCCCTAGGAGCTGTCATCTGCATAGTTGAGGCTAGGTCATTGCCACCTCTGGCTTGGAGCCTGCAGGAAGGGGTGGGGGAGTTTTCTAGGTCTTAGTTTGGTTCCAGTGATCTATTACTGCATAACAAACCACCCTGACATTTAGTGCTATAAGACATTAACCATTTCATTATCCTCACAGATTCCATGTGTCGGCGAGGAATGCTGGGGAATTTGGACAGAACACCGGGAGGGTGGCTTGTCTCTCTGCTCTACAGGCTGGGGCCTCAGCTAAGACTCCAATGACTGAGGGTGACTCAGATTGTTGGTGGTTGAATGATCTGGAGGCATCTTCACTTACCCGGTGCTTGACTGGAAGACTAGGCTCGGCCAGGCTTGTACCAGGACACCTCTCCAGTTCTGTGGCCTCAGGGGAGTTAGACTGCTTTATGGAGGCTCAGGGCTCTAAGAGCAAGAGTTCTTGGAGAACTAGATAGAAACCTCTACACCCTAGCCTTAGAAGTCACATTATAGTTGAAGACTGCCCAGGTTCAAGTGGAGCGGTCATAGATCCCCCTACCTCTTAACAAAGAGGGTTGAAGAATTTGTGTCATATATATATATACATATATATATATTTTAAGATTTTATTTATTTATTGGAGAGAGACAGAAATAGTGAGAGAGAGCAGAAGCAGGGAGGAGAGGGAGAAGCAGACTTGCCGCTCAGCAAGGAGCCCGATATGGGGCTCCATCCTAGGACCCTGGGATCATGACCTGAGCCGAAGGCAGACACTTAACCGACTGAGCCACCCAGGCGCCCCGAATTTGTGTCATATTTTAAAGCCATTATAGCCAGAGGGACACATGCCAGCTTTGTTCATATTCTCTTGCTGAGAGTGTAGTTGTATGGCTTCAGCTAGATTCACAGGGCTGGGAGACACTGTCCCTAGCTAGGCAGCCATGTGCCTGGCATCAACCCCGTTATAACAGAAGAGGGGGAATTGGGTGAGCTGTCTGCAGCCTGCCACAGCTACTCCTCTGGCCACCAAAAATCCAGCTGTACCCCCTCTTCCTACATGTATAATACACTTCTCCTTGGGGGGAAAACGAAGTTCCATTGACTGCCTATTTGTTGAATGACTGAATGGATGTTTGCAGAGCATCTGTGTTCAGCCCATCCACTATAAAGATAGGGTGGGCAGAGGCAGCGTTCCTTTCCTTAACCTAGAGCCTCGAGGTGGGCTAGTTCCAAGTGGGGAGGCAAAATCAGGTAACAGTGGCCTGTTTGGAGTGGTGAGAAATCTGCTTTTCCCTTTATTTTGTACTTAACTCCATCTATTTACAGAGTAGGGAAAACAGTAATTGTCAATTGAAAAGAATGTCTATCTCATTGTGCATCTAAAATTAATTCCAGATGGATCAAAGATTCAAATGTAAAAATAAACCCATAAAATGCTAGGGGAAAGACAAGAGCAGACCGTTCACAGACGAAGATAAATAAAAGGCTGACAGTGGTATGAAAAGACACAGTCTTGAGGATATGGGGAGACAGGAACTCTCATTCATTATTGGTTGGTGTTAAAATGGATCATTTTTACCAGGGGGGATTTAGCAATATCTTTAAGATGTCAAGTGTTCAATACCTTTTTATCTAGAAACTGCACTTCTGGGTATTTCCAGATATACAGTAGTCCCACAAGTGAGGAAAACTATATGTCAAGGATGTTCAGTGCAGGCTTGTTTAGAATAGTGAAGTAGCTGGAAACCACCTAAATGCCCCTCCATGGGAAACTATTAAATAAAGTAGAAGCCCATGCAGCTGTTAAAAAGAATATGGTAGATTTATCAGTACTCACATGGAAAAATGTCCAAGGAATTACAATAACCAGAAACAAAAGGCAAATTGGAGAACATAGTACATAATGTAAATTCATCTCTATTAAGAAAGAAAATAAGCAAATATAATTCATATGTATTTAAAAATACCTGGAAAGATGCATGGAAAGTTTTAACAATGGGTACTTCAGGGGGAGTAAGTTTAAGATTGTGGAGAGCAGGAGGATTTTTACTTCTTGCTTTATGTCCTTCTCCACTGTATGGATTGTTTTCATAGTAAAACATGTATCACGTGTATTGATTTTATAAGAGAATCACATTCAGAGTGGTGATTGTTCCTAGGGAAGAAGGGAAGGGAATGGAAGAGAGGCCACAGGGCCTCTGTATGTGTAATTCTAGGTTTCTAAAAGAAATTGAAATGGTTAAGAAATGGTAAATTTTCTTAGTTCCATTTTACCACCACCACCAGAAGCAACAGAATGAAACCAAATGTGGCAATATGTTACGAATTGATAAAGCTGGTAGGTGGGGACCAGGATGTTCATTATATAATTCCCTATACATTTCTAAATTTTTGGAATATTTTACAACTTAAAAAAAAGGATTCGTTCAAAAAAAAAAAAAGGATTCATTCAACACAACAGCATGAAATAAATGGAAAAGAAGCCTGAAGAATGAAGAGAAAGGAAAATCGGGCAGTGAAATAAAGTTTACAGCCCAGACTTCTGATAAGCAACTTGGTAAATTCCATCACAGTCTCATTGGAAGGAGGTATGGAAACTTCATGGTTCCCCTTTGGACTCTCCGATGCTCCTGGGCGTGGCTTAGAGAAGGGAAGGCGTGGCTTGGAGAAGAGTAGGCGTGGCTTAGAGAAGGGAGCGTGCCCATGCCCGAGCCCCGCTGCAGTTCCAGGCCGGAGCCTGGCTGGGTGGGCAGTCAGGAGGCTCCCGCAGGTCCAGTTGCCAGCAGGCGAGGCCCCGGCAGTGCGGGGTTTGGCGGGGTGCCGGTGGCAGCCTGGGGTCCACCGCCAGGGCCTCCCAGGGCAGAGGAGCTGGAGGAGGAGCTGGAGGAGGACAAGGCGTGGGCGCCGGGCAGCGCTGGGCTCCTGCCAGGCCTCCAAGTGACCCCTGTTCCTCTTTGCTTGCCCCTGTCATGCATCGAGTCATCCTCTGTCAACCTAAAGAGCAGAAGGGGCAGCCCTGTCTCCTTCCTCTCAGGGACTGCTTTTGAGGGAGACTAAGCAGCTTCTCCCGCTCCTCCTGCGAAAGACCTCCCCAGGCCTTCACACCCTTCCCTCGGGGCCCCTTCCCACCCAGGGCCTTAATCTGCTGCACCTGCAGTTCTTTGATCTACTTTGGTTTCCTTTCTTTTCAAACAACTGACCGCAGTGGTACTGCCGACCTGCTTTGAAAACCCTCTTCCTGTGAACCTGAGATACGGGTGATAAAGCAATAAAGGGCAGAAGGCTGTGGCTCTCTCAAGCCCCTTTGTTCTGGGCACTGGGGTCATGTCACTGGCAGGCCAAGGTGGGGCCCAGAGTCTGTCCTGGAAGCCCGGAGGGCTGTCCCAGGCAGGGCCACCCTGTTGCTGCTGGGGTCCCACCTAAGTGGCATCCGTGCGGGCGCATGGGAGGATTTCTACCCAGGGAGGTGGGTGAGGGGTTCCAGGCAGCGCCGGGCCCTAGGACTGCTTCCACTGCTCCACCCATCTCAGATACCCAAGTGCAGACCCTGGGCTTCGGGCAGGCCCAGGGCTGCTTCTCTTCAGAGGGGCTAAGACACAGGGCACCACCCTCCCGCAGCTGCGGCCTGTGTGTGTGTGTGTGTGTGTGTGCACGTGCGTGCACCCCACAGGCCCCTGCAGAGAGACACAGAGTTTCTGGGTTTCAGTCCTGGCAGGGACTGTAAGACCTGCTGAGCAAGCTTCTCATCTTTGCATTGTTTGATGTCCAGGGTTTTTGGGCTGGCGTCTGGTTTCTCAGTGGCCCCGATTTTGTGTTCTTGTTGTGGAACTCTTGGGAACCAAGGGCTGGCAGCCAGCCAATGCATGCAGGGCTCCAAGCTGGAATCCTTAAACATATCATTGCGTTTCAAATTCAGAACAACTGAATATAAGCATGCTCAGCCTCCCCTTTATCAGAGGGGGAAACTGAGGCCCAAGTAGTTCAAATAGGTTGTCCAGAGTTCCCAGCTGGGAAGGGATGGGGTTGGGATTGGGTCTGCTCCCCACCTTCTCTTCCCTGCTCTGTGCACTGAGGCGGGCCTGTGGTGATTACAAGAGGGGGCACCCTTACTCTGCACGGGGACCAGTGGGGAGCACGGACAGCATGTGGGAGGCAGAGAGGAGCGAGAGTGTGCGGCACTTAGTACCCACCCCCTGGACACCTCCTGTGGGGTAGCCATGATCTGGATGCCTCCCTCAACTGAGGCCACAGCTCCCATCAGGGGTGCTCTCCTCCCAGATGGGTTCTAGTCACCCCGTCCGCCTCTTACCCCTTCAGGCCTAACAGTGGACGGACTGTTGCTATTGGTCCAGGTTCCGGCCTCCGAAAATCATCCCTTTATTGAGTGCTCCTAGAATGGCCCAATCTGAGTGTGCCATCTGCTTCCTGCTGGGACCCTGCCTGATCCATATCATGCTGCCAGCTCACTGGCAAGGACCCCCGAGTCTGCTGAGTCATCGCAGACTGCAGCTGGGCTCATGGGGGGGGGGTCCGTTTTCTAATTCCTGCGCTTTTCTCCGGCTCTGCTCATTTCCTTGCCCCTCCTCATCTGCCTGCTTTGCCTTCACTCCCACCTGCTGTTCTCCCCCCGCAACACCCGCCCCCCCGCCACCACCAGATGTCCAGGTATGTTTAGGGAATGAGAGTCCCGGCTAAGCAACCCCTGCCCTTGCCCCATCCGCCCATGATGCATCCTGGAAGTGTGCTCCATCATCACGGGCGTCACGGCCTAGTCATAGAGGCCCTGGGTCCTTGGGACAAGATGTCTTGGAAGCCAGTGCACAGAAACAGGATGATTTCACATTGCTGGGAGAGCCTTCTTCCCTGGGGACCTGTGACCAGGAAAGCTTACCCGCTCACCCGCCCACTCACACACTTGCAATGCCGAGGGGCTGACTCCCCACCAGGCCTACCCCCAAGGGACCGACATGCCACTTCCTCAAGGAGACCATCCCTGGCCTTCGCCGAGGCCTGCTGCCCTGCACATGTTCCCAGTTCATCCCATTCCTCCTTGTTTTGAAATCCTCGTCACACTGATCTCCCTTGTCAGTGTTCACAACCCTCATTGCACCTTCCACTCCCCAAAAGCAGGTCCCGTGTCTGCGCTGCTCACTGCTGTACCCCCAGCGCCCGGCACAGGGCTGGGCGCACGGAAGGAGTACAACACATTGTTGAACTGAAACGAAGATAGGGTAATTGAATCAGTGCTGTGCAGGTTACTCCTCTCCTATCTAGGTGGCCACCCAGAGACCTGAGTCCTGGAGAGAACGTAGGCCTGCAGTCTGGGGACTGGTCCAGGCCCCTGCTGTGGCTCCTACTCATCACATGACTCTCATCGGTCTCAGAGCTTGAGGTCCTCATCGGGAAGATGGGGATAGTACTTCATTTTCTACTGCATCATAATAAGTTATATAAACATAGCAACTTAAAACAATGCGTATTTGTTATCCATGGTGTCTGTGGGGCGGGAGTCTGGGCACAGCTTCCCCGGGTCCTCCGCAAGGCCAGGGTGTCAGCCAGGACTGCGCTTTCATCTGGATGCTCCAGTGGGGATGGATCCACTTCTAGGCTCACACAGGTGGCTGACAGAATTCATCTCCTGGTGGTGGTGGGACTGAAATCCTTTTGTCGGCTGCAGGCTGGAGGCTGCCCTAGTTCCTAGAGGGCACCCATAGTTCCCAGCCAGGATGCCCTCTCCATGGGCTCTCTCACAACTTGACAGCTTGCTTCTTCAATGTCAGCAAGAGAGGAAGTCTCTATACCAATCTGCAAGTAAGACTGAGTCTTTTGTGATGCCAGGTAATCATGGGAGGGATGCCCCACCACTTCTGCCAGTATTGGTTAGATATTGGCATCTTGGTTATTCTATTGGTTAGAAACAAGTCACAGGTCCTGCCCACTCTCAAGGGGAGGGGATTACACAAAAGCATGAACATGAGGATACAGGGATCATGCCGGTCACTTTAGACTCTGTCTCCTACAATGCTAATCCCTCTGTCATAGAATTCTTTTCTCTTTTTTAACTCTCTCTCTCTCTCTCTTTTTTAAGATTTTATTTATTTGTCAGAGAGAGAGAGCATAAGCAGGGGGGAGCAGCAGAGGGAGAAGCAGGCTCCCCGCTAAGCAGGGAGCCCAACGTGGGACTCGATTCCAGGACCCTGGGATCATGACCTGAGCCGAGGGCAGATGCTTAACTGACTAAGCAACCCCGTCCCTCTCATAGAATTCTTAAGAGAACTAAGGAAAATAACGTATGAGAGCTCTTCACACAGTGCCTGGCACTTAGTAAGAACTCAGACATGTCACCAAAGGTGGTTAGCAGCAGCTATCTTTTCTTTGGCCCACTTTGAAATAGGTCCCCAGGCCCCACCATGCCCTACTGCCTTCCACCAGGCTGCTTCAGCCACCTACATCATCTGTCTAGATCTTTTTTTTTTTTTAAAGATTTTATTTATTTATTTAAGACAGAGAGAATGAGAGAGAGAGAGCACATGAGAGGGGGGAGGGTCAGAGGGAGAAGCAGGCTCCCTGCCGAGCAGGGAGCCTGATGCGGGACTCAATCCTGGGACTCCAGGATCATGACCTGAGCCGAAGGCAGTCGCTTAACCAACTGAGCCACCCAGGCGCCCCATCTGTCTAGATCTTGAAGGCAGTTGAATTTGCCACGTGGTATTATCTAGTGTGATCAAATAGGTGTTCTTGCAATTGTCATTAAACGTTCTTGACAGATAAGGCCTGTATCTTACTAAATTTTCTTGCCTCTGGTGGGTCTAGGATGTTGAATTTAGCTTGGAAACTCCATGAATGTTGAGCCATAGCACCAACCAGAATGACTTGAGTCCAGAGTTATAGGCCTAAGGAATGTGTGCTGGTTGGCGGGGAGGGAGGGAACAGGTGCAGGTTGGATGGGCAAGTCGGGGAGGAGCAGGAAGAGTCTTGGCAGGTACCAATGTCAAGCTCTGCTACGGGAAGCCCTGCGGCCCTCGTCGCCATGTCTGCCCACCTCCCTCCACCCCCAGCTTTCTTCCCTTCTTACTGTTCAAACCCCTACCTTCACCCCCAGCTCTGAGCAGGGTCCTCGTGGGATCTGGGTGTGGAGGGCCCTGCCCGTGCTGATGAGGGAAGAAAAGATGGATTCTTTCAGAAATGGACTGTCTGGGCTGGGGAAGGGTCTCAACCCCTGGGAAGGGGTCGACGGCTGTCCTTAGGTTACTAGATGAGGAGTCATGTTTGTTGAGCACTGACTCATGCCTCTGGCCCCATCCTTCACATTTTCCTTTGTTGTCTGTCTTCAAGGTGGATGAACGAAAGCCCAGAGAGGGAAAGGGGCTTTCCCTGGTCACACAGAGGCTGGGTGGCAGTTAGGACAGAACTTAGGTATCCTGAGCTGCTAGTCCCAAGTTTTCTCTCTACAACACCTTTTGCACCCAGGTCTGTGGGCCTGCTGGTGCTGGGGGAGGGGACACACACACACACACTTTTCCTGGCCCCACCCCAAGTCTCCATTCAGGACATTCTGGCTCTCCAGCTCCTCGTTTCTTCTTTCCCTCTGCTTCCCCTGCTTCCAGCACTTTCTCCCCTCCGGGTGCTCCTTCTGCTGGATTGTACCACGTCACTCACCCTCAGCCCAGCCCACACCAGCCATGGCGGATGATCCAGACCCCGAGCACAGAGATTCCTTCCCAGCAGACACGGAGTCTGTTGGAGGCTCGCACATCTGAACAGCTGTTGCCCAAATCTAATCTGCAGAAGAGAAACCAGAGGGATCATGTCTGTCATTTCTGGGCAGAGCCATGGCCCTGGGCGCTGGAGTCACTTCAGAGAGGCCGAGGACCGGCCTCAGTGTGGGAGGGGTAGCGGTGAGGAGGGTCCTACCTGGGTGGGGTCCGCCTGTCCTGGCGCAGGCGGGTCCCTTTAAGACAGGTCAGACAGGAAGATCCCCTCCCCCCCCCCGCCAGCCCGGGGGAGCAGAGTGGAGGCAGCCATCCAGGGGCCAGGACTGTAACAGCTGCTAAAAGTCTGCAGCATCTGTAAATCCTTCTTGTGGGATGCTTTTGTTACTCACTGTGCTTTTCCTGAAACTGTCAGTGGTAAACCCCTTAAAAGGCAGGCGCTTGTCTTCAGGCTGGGAAGAGAAGGGGAGCTGGATGCCTGGCTTCCTTCTGCCCCAGGATTAGGTATGGGGAGGGTGAGAGCAGATGGCCAGGGCTGAGAGAAGCTGGCTGCGTCCCTGCAGGGGCAGGAGGCAGCCGGGCCCCCCGCCAGGGCTGGGCGGACACTTTGTCAGCGCGGGGAGCCGGCTGCTGTGAGACTTCCAATGGGCTGGCATTGCCCTGAAGCCCAGCCTGACTTCCAAGAAACCACTCTAAACCAGTCAGTGACCCAGGGGAAGAGCATTCTGCAGCCTAGTTCCACTTCCTTTCATAAGTGGGAGCCTCTACGGGCTCCTCAGGGATCGAAGCTAGAAAAGGTGCTTCGAAGCTAGAAAAGTAGAAAGTGCACAACGGATACACACACACACACACACCCCTATCTGTTACTGGCTGTGGATTTGGAGCTGCAGACCCCTGCCCCCCCGGGCCTGTGCCGCGGAACCCACACATGGTCCTGAAGAATCCTATGCAGGCCACCCCATCCATCGCGCGCTATGACACTCAGCAGGACGCAACCACGGGGAATCACACGTAACCGCAGGCCATCATGCATCCGCAAGCCGTGACATACAGCCCGTCGGGATCACACACGCTGCACAGTGAGCCTTAACTGCGTGCCCGCACCCCCACCCACTCATCTGCACTCATCCCGTGCGGCTGGACACACACGGGGTACACACGGGGTACACAAGGGGATTCTGAAGCCCACGCAGTCACACGCAGACTCACACCCCTCTGCACAACTTCTGTACATTCAACCCCACTCACTGGCGCATGAGGACACATGGTCATAGGCAATCCCACAGGACCACGGACGGTCACAGGCCACATGGAACGTACAACTGTGGGGCCGCTGTGAACTGGGCTTTAACACAAGCGGCGGGGGTAAGGGGCTGGGGAAGCCTTGTTCTCAGAAACGGGGATACACAAGAGCCTGGCTGTGACTAAGTCAGGGACAGAGGGGTCCACTCGGGTCTTCAGACAGTCCAGTTCCTGGTCATCACTCCCCAGAGCAGCAGAAACTCCGGAGTTAGTTGGCCCCCTTCAGCGCCGGGCAGCAGAGCATTCCTGGGTCCTGAGGTGGCCTCCTCTCCCCCCATCCGGCCCCAGCTGGGCTGTGGCGGGACTGCAGTGAGTCAGCAGGAAAGGGCTCAGGGAATGCGGGTGGGTGACCAACAGGGCCTGCAGTTGCTGAAGTTCCGGAGAGGAGCGGCTGCCCACTCACTGGAGCTCACCCGCCTAGCAGGGAGGGCCGCCGACACAGGTCTGGGTGCTGATGGCCATTTCTCAGCCAACCCTGTATGCAAGGAAGCAGATGTAAGGGGCCATGTTCCCCCGCAGGCCGCGCTTGGGCCTCCCTTACCTGCCGAGGTCCTCAGCGAGGCCTGGCCCACGGGCCCAGCGCCACACCCCGCTCTCCACCATCACTGATTCATGCATTCATCCAGCCCTTCCTGGAGCACCCACCACACCAAGACGCATGATCTGTGCCTTCCAATGGGGAAAGGTCACATGAAAGATGATTCCAGAGCAATGCGGACACGCAGGAACAGATGTACGCATGCTATTGTGGAAGCTACTGGGGCCCACTGCTTGTGAGCCCTTGAACTCCAGCCTCTGCTAACGGGGGCCAGGATAGCTGCACCGGATGGTGCCCATCCCTCAGGGTGCTCCTGAGCTCTGACCGCTCCTGAAAGAGGGAGGAGCACAGTCAGGGAAAGCACGGGTGGGCATGACTGTTACTAATGAGCCATTTTCCTTTTTTCCAACAGAATCAGGGAATTACTTTTTCAGATCTAAAGAACAAAATTTTAAATGCCACGTCTGAAGGAAATCTTTCTAAAATGACTTCCTGCAGTGTGGCAGATTCCTCACCAGCACTCTTCTTGCTGCCTCAGGGTTCTTATTTTTTTAAATGCTTTTTTTTTGAGAGAGAGAGAAAGCACAGGGGGTGGGGGGATTAGAGAGGGAGAGAGAGAATTCCAAGTAGACTCCACGCCCAGTGCTGCCTCAGGGTTCTTATTACAAACTTCCATTATCACTACCTCAGAGGCAATGGTCCTTTCTTGAGCTCAGAGTAGGTGGTCAGTAAATACTTGTGGAAGGAATACACACTGCGGAGCCCAGACTTCTGGGCTGAAAGACTGGAAAGCAGATGGCAAGAGTATAGAATGCTCCCTGGTATGGGGTTGGGGTGCAGTGGACGCTACAGGGGTCTTTCTCTTGCTCCCTAAACTCTTCTCAAGAGACATATCCTTCCCTTCCCTTCCTTTTTTCCTTCCTTCCTCCCTCCCTTCCTTCCTTCCTCCCTCCCTCCCTCCCTCCCTCCCTCCCTTCCTTCCTTCCTTCCTTCCCTCCCTCCCTCCTTCCTTCCTTCCCTCCTTCCTTCCTTCGGAAAGAGAACTAAGTTTTTTATTTGTTCATTTCTTGCATTTGAAAGATTACTCAAGGACATCCTTTGCCATCGCCCTTAATCACCATACAACTACAACTGACCATGTTGCGGGGTTTTCCCTCTGTCATTTTTACAGAGGCCCACCCATTCCCCTAGTTTCTTACCATCAATCTTAATTAGGTTGATTTGGTGTTCAGCACAAAGAGCCTCCACCAACTTGACATACAGGCTTATCCCGGTTGGATCTGCCCTCCTTTCTTCTGTGCTGCAGGGGCTCACCTGTTTCCCCTCCTGTGGGCACTGCACCCCATCTTACCAATGTTGTCTGAAGACTGTGTCCCAGTCTTGATTCCTCCTCCTTTCCTTACTGTCCCTGAACGTGAAGACAAGCACCAGCCATTTTCCTTCTAACCCTTCTAATCACTCTGTGGAAACAGATGTTAACAAAAATCAGAACCACAGGAAATCGATGGAGGGTCTGGAATCTCACAAAGTTCCTACATCCTAATTGTATCCTGGCCTCACATGTATAATATAATAAATTCCAGATAAATAAAATATTTAAATAGAAAAAGAAACCATAGAGGTCATGAAAGAAAACATGGGTGACCATCTTTTTGTTATTTTAGAGTGACTAAGACCTTTCTAAACAGAAAACCAAAAAAACCCGGACACATTTAATGACATAAAATTTGCCAAGTTCTGACAACAAAAGCTCTATACACAAATCGAAACACAAAGGACAAGCTGGGGGAAATATTTCCAACAGATAAAACAAAGGGTTTGTATCCCTAATCTACAAAGAGCTTTCACAAGTCAATAACAGAGAGATAAATAACGCAATAGAAAAAAAACCAAACCAAACAAAAAACCCACAGGCCAGGAGCTGTTAACCCACAGCAGAGGAAATAAGTGGATGAAAAGATCTTCACCCTACCTTAGAGTTTTAAAAATAAAACTAAATCTATCAGGATGGCAACGTTAGAAAGATGGATAATATTTAGTCCTGAGAAGACGTGGGTTAATGGGAAATTGGTGGGGGAAAAAAAACAAAACAAAAAACAACACAAAAACCTTTTTTGGAGGGCAATTGAGCAATATCTATTTCAGTCTGAATATGCCAACCCTTTGACCCAGCAGCTCCACTTCCAGGAACTTATGCTAGAATCAGGGTACACATTCACATCAGCATGCTCATGGTGCATCTTGAGGGAGTTAGTGTGAATTTGCTCTACCTACACCTGCGTGTTTGGCTCTACCCCCTTGGGATTCCACAGGCATCATCAGGGTGTGGGGTTTACACGGCCCAGAAGCCCATTAGCTTTTCTCTAAGCAGGGCTACCCGAGTCTCATGAACCCCCATTGGTTACCTCCTAACTTCCCACTCCTCCTCCCTATTTCCCATTTTCCAATCCCCTCATTTTTATTAGAAAATCCCTCCGCACCTCCAATCCCAGAGGGGGAGCACGTGCCCTAGCCGAAGTCTGTGAGCACATCCCATCTGCTCATCTGATTGGTCAGTGGTGGCACGTGACTTAAACTGGTCCAATCAGGATGCATCTCCCGTGTTTGATTGGAAGTCCTAGGACAGAGACGGGCATAGTGTCTTGGGTGGATGTAGCCCTTATTACTGAATGCTGAAATTGCTGTAGCCCTTATTACTACAAGGAGAATGAGTTTGTGGAACAAGGCTAACGCACAGAGCAGAATGGAGCCAAGGAAAATGACAGAAAAATGAAACCAGAGCCTGATGATCTTGCGAACCTCTGGGGAAAACCGCACCTGAATCTCACCCGGGCCCCGGGCTTTTCTGACGCAGGCGGCAATACCTTCTCCCTATTGGCTAAGCCCATCTGAGAGGAGATGTTTGTGCCCTCGCAGTGGAAGCCTCTCACAAACACAGAGCCCCTCCTCTCCTCTGACAGCCTGGTTCCTTGACCCTGTGAGGCTCAGCCGTGGAAAACAAAGGCCTATTAATTCTTTCTGGGAGCTTGGGAAGCCCTGACTTCCTTCACCCAAGGCTTGATCGCTTTAGGGTCTTGTGGAGGAGAGAGAAAAATGCCCCCCCATCGTTGTGAGCCTCCCATAGCGACATGAGCAAGTCAGATATTAGTAACTCACTAAATTATCTCACCACATTGTTACAGTCAAAAAATTATAAACAACCCGAACGCTCACTGATAGGGTAACTCCTCATGGTCCCTCCACAGGGTGGTGTACCCTTCAGCCTTTAGAAACGTGGAGGAAATGCTACAGGTAATGCCAGGGAAGGCCTCCAAAAAATATCCTTTACGGAAAAAACCAGATCGAAGAACAAAATGTATAGTATAAAAATCCACCTTCCTTTCTTAAGGCTATAGGTATATGGTTCTCTCTGAATAGAAGAAGCCCTAGAAGGAAGATCGCTTTACACAACAAATTTTTTTTAAATTATCTCTGAGGGCTAGGATTCTGAAGGATTTGTATTTTCTGGTTTTTTTCCACTTCATTATTGAACTTTTATGGTGTTATTTGAAAATATATGTATTTTTGGGGTGCCTGGGTGGCTCAGTCGTTAAGCGTCTGCCTTCGGCTCAGGTCATGATCCCAAGGTCCTGGGATCGAGACCCGCATAGGGCTCCCTGCTCGGCGGGAAGCCTGCTTCTCCCTCTCCCACTCCCCCTGCTTGCGTTCCCTCTCCCGCTGTGTCTCTCTGTCAAATAAATAAAATCTTAAAAAAAAAAAAAAGAAAATATATGTATTTTAAACTTCTTCCAGTCCTGGGCTCTGGTCTATAGCTCCCTATTTCCTTTTGTGGTGGTGACTGGAGCCCTGAAGGGAGCTGTCATTGCCTGAGGGTGCAGCCCCACCTCCTTGCTGCCGGAAGCTCCAGGCCTGGCCTGTTGGCAGGTCTTACAAGTCACCTCCAGGATGGGCAGGGCCTCAGGGTCAGAGCCGTGTGGAGAGCTGTCCTTACCCAAGTGTGTGGTGCCAGGTAGAAAGTGATGAGACAGAATGCCAGGAGGCTCAGTGGTGACCTGCCGCCCGGTTTTGTTGGAAGAAGTCCTTGGCTTGGATGGCTTTGCTTGGCTGAAGAAGGATCCCCAAAGATACCAGATTCGAATCCCTTGGAATCTATCAATGTTACTGTATCTGGAAAACAAGTCTTAGCGGATGTAAGATTAAGTTAAGAATCTTGAGATAGGGAGATGCTTTTGGATTATCCGGGGGGGTCCTAGATGCAATCACAAGTGTCCTTGTAAGAGAGAGGAAGAGGGAGACTTGACCCAGGTAGAAAAGAAGGCTGTGTGACCACAGAGGCAGGGACTGGAGCGACAAGGCCACAAGCCAAGGAATCCCAGCCGCCAGCGGAAGCTGCAGAGGACCAGACTGTCCCTCAAAGCCTCCAGAGACAGCACAGCGCCCCCGACACCTCGATTTGGGCCCCGTGATACTGATGGTGGACTTCCGGCCTCCAGTACTATGAAAGAATACATTTCTGTTAAGCCACCAATTTCATAATAATTTGTTACGGCAGCCGTCATACACACTAATGGGGTTTTAGAAAGCAAAGCACGCTAGCTGTGCAAATGCTCTTCCCCGATCGGCCTTCCTGATGACACACTGCTCAGGCCAGAAAGAAAGCCAGGCTGCTTCTCTAGGCACCCCAGACAGGGCCTCCAAGATGGCTAATGAGCCCCGGCACTTGTGACCAGGGGTGCTGGAGGGGGTAGGGAAGGGGTTGGGGGCCGGGGAGCCCACCCCTGGTTCTGCGCCCAGCCTCGGCTCCCGCTCCGGTGGGAGAGCAGAGGGGTGGCCTGGCAACCCCAGGGGCACGGTGGGCTCCCCACCGTGCCCTGGTTTCCCCTCAGAGCGGAAGCACGCGTATTGTTCGAGTACAGACACCATTAAAAAAACAACGCACACCCACCCTCTACTTGAAATAACTTCCCACTTTCTAAAAATGGAATTCTGCCCGGTCATCACATTTCTCCCTCCTACAGTAGTAACATTTCTCACCCCCTCGTGCTCTGTAGGTGTGTGACTGGCCCGAGAGGGAACTACTATTAATGGCAATTTCCACCTGATGTAATCCCCTTGGGGAGCCTCGCTTGCACGGAAGGTGACAGAAGGTGACAGTCCCTTGTATAATAGATGTCCCCCACCCCTCCTCCCGGGGACCCTCCCCTAGGGCTTGGGGTTTTGCCTGCTCCAATATCCATAGTGTCCCCTGGCTCAGAAAATAATAATAACAATAATAATACCGCTGACTCTTGAACAATGAGTTGGAACTGCACGGTCCACTTACAAGCGGATTTTGGGGATAAATCTAGCACGGTACTGTCAATGTATTTTCCCTTAGGATTTTCTTAAAAACATTTTCTTTTCGGGGCGCCTGGGTGGCTCGGATGGTTGGGCTTCTGCCTTCGGCTCGGGTCATGATCCTGGGGTCCTGGGATCGAGCCCCGCGTCGGGCTCCTGGCTCGGCGGGGAGTCCGCTTCTCCCTCTCCCTCTGCTTCTCCCACTGCTCGTGCTCTCTCTCTATATATATCTCTGTGTCTCAAATGAATAAATAAAATCTTTTTTTAAAAAAAAAGAACATTTTCTTTTCGCTAGCTTATTTTATTGTAGGAATGCAGTATAGAATACCTATAATGTACAAAACGTGTTAATCGACTGGGTTATTTGTAAGGCTTCTGGTCGATAGGAAGGTATTTGTAGTTACGTTTTGGGGGAGTCCTAAGTCATGCATGGGTTTTTGACTACATTGGAGGTCAGCACCCCTGACCCCCACATTGTTCAAGCGTCAACTGTAATAATAAACGAACTGCTTATGTAGATCTGTCGGGCACTGTCCTGAACGCCTACATGAATTAACTCATATACTTCCCATGACTTATCCTATGGGGTGGGGACAGTCTTATTTTCCTCATTTTACCGATGAGAAAACAGAGAGGTTAAAAACTTGTCCAAAGTCACACAGCTAACAGGTGGCTGAGCTGGGGTTTGAACCGCTGCTGAAGGGCTGCAGGGTGTAAGGGCGCTTCCCTCCCATGGTGTGTTGGCTGGCTGGAGTCGGGTGGGGAGGTGACAATCGGCCGGCTGGTGGCCGAGACCTTTCTCTGTGCAAAGTGAGTTGTCTTGGGCAGGGACCTAGGCTGAGACAGGGGCTTCCCCGGCAGTGGAACCATCAGCTCTCTCCAGATCAGGGCTGCAGTGGCCTAGAAAGGCCTTCCCCAGCCAACTCTCCCTTCATGTGCCATCCACCTCATCCTCCTGCTGCAGCCTTTGCAAAGGCCGTGACTGTGAGCAGAGTGGGGAACGATCCTTTCCTTTCCCTGCGCAGGCCTCAGGTGGGTGCCCAAGAGAAGCCAATGGAAAGTCCTTAGGCTCAGGCATGGGGCCAAAACTGGCTTCATCCT